CTACCTCGACAGGCTCACCCGGGTCTACCTGGGACACACCTGAGGGAGCGGCACCCTGAGGGGGGAGGGGGTCTGGTACCTCAGCACCTGGAGCGAGGAAGAGAGGCGGGGGGGGGAGTGGGGCAGTGCGGTAGGGGAAGAGGCGGTAGTAGGGGACGGACTCGTCAAAAGTGACGTCCTGAGAGGCCAGGACACGACGCGAGGTGGGGTGGTAGAACTGCCAGCCAGGGGCGTCCGGGACAAAGCCAAGGAAGACACAGGGGACAGCGCGACGGGAGAGCTTGTCCGCGGACGTGTCGCGGACAAAAGCTCGGGATCCCCAGACCCGAAAACGTGACGCATCGCCAGCCTCTCCCGTCCAACGCAGTGTCGGAGAAGTCTCGGGCAAGGAGACACGGGGCCAGAGGTTGAGCTGATGCGCAGCGTATCGGACTGCAAACGGCCACAGAAAATGGGGGGCAGCCGCATGGCTCAAGGAGGAACGAGAGACCTCCATGACCAGACCAATGCGGCGCTCAGCAACCCCATTCTGCTGTGGAGAGGCCGGAAGCGTGTACGACTGCTCAATGCCCTCCTGCTGACAGAAGGTCTCCAAGAGGCCAGAGGAGAACTCCCCACCTCTGTCAGAGTGCAAACGCAGGACAGGGAAGTCGGAGCGGAAACGCTCACGGAGCTGGAGACGAGATCTGCGGATCCAAGGGATCAAGACATCAGGGACGTCACCCTTGGCGCGCAAGGGGAAGACCGTGGTGTAGCGCGAGAAGTCGTCAACAACAATCAGGAAGTACCTCTCCTGACCCTGACCACGGACGCGGGCTGGGCCCCACACGTCCATGTGGAGCGTCTGCAAGGGAGCAGTCGTCGGGGGAAAGGAGGAGGAGTGAGGAGCGGCGCGCTGCCGTCCCTCGACACAGGGAATACAGGGAGGAGCAGGCGAGTCGGGAAGGGGAGGGAGCACCCTGGGAAGACCAGCAACAAGGTCCCGTTTGTGCATGGCCCGAAGGCGCTGCACAGACGGGTGACCAAGGCGGTGGTGCCAAAGGACAGTCTCATGCGCCAGAGAGCGACACGAGCAGGGGGCGGACAGCTGACCAGACGCAGACGCAGACGCAGACGCAGCTACCTGAGGGGACTCAGTGGTCAGTGTGTAAAGGTCCGACCCCGGCTCCCGAGTGAAGGTAGCCAGGTGGCGACCCGTCCGAGCACACGTGCAGTGTGTCACGCGCTCGTAGGCAGGGGTGAACTGGTGAACACCTCCGTCCTGGAGCGCACTACCTGCCACCAAGTTCGTAGAGAACGAGGGGAGGTAGAGACCGGACAGCGTGCCGGACGGGACCGCCGGACAAGGAAGGACAGTGGAGGAGGTCGCAATGACCGGACCCCCAGAGGGGTCAGCAAGGGAGACAGCAACTGGCCGAGCGAGTGGCTCAAGGACAGTGCGGTCACGAAAGAAGGAGCGAGAAGCACCTGAGTCCAGTGTGAAGGTGTGCAGTGCTGCAATCGACTCAGTACCAGGGGGCACGGACGCACGAGCACCTAGGGCAGCGGCCTCACCAGGACCTGTGGGAGCAGACGCACTAGCACCTAGAGCGGCAGCCGGACTGGCCTGAATGCCCGGGTCGGGCGGAACACGCAAGTACTGAGCACCCTCTCCACTAATAGACATCGCATACATGGCAGTGAGAATAGCATCAAAGTCTAAAGCCCAAATATCAACACCCCTCTTTTCCAGATCAGCCCAGCGCGGCAGCTCAGTGGCAGCAGGAAACTGAGTGCGCCACGCGTCGTTAAGGCGCGCGAAGCAGCGCTGCGTGGGGTGCGGCCTCCCACACTGCTGGCCGCTGCGGTCACCTGTGCGAATGACGTACGTGCAGGTAACGCTACGCTGCGCATACCACTCACGGGCGGCCTGAAGTGTCGGGGCGGGCTGCTGACTCTGCCCTCCGCTAGTGCCTCCACGACCACCACCCCCACCGCCGCCGCCCCGGCCACCTCCACCCCTGCCGCCGCCACGACCACCTCCGCCTCCGCTGCCGCCTCCACCACCACTCCCGCCGCTGCTGTCTCCTCCCCCACTGCCGCCACTAGTCTCCCCAGCCGCGCCTCCACTCCCACCGCCTCCACCCCCACCTCCTCCGCCACCACCCCCACCCCTGCCCCCCTTGTTCCTGCGGCGCCCGCTCGAAGCAGACGCGGTCCCGACCTTCTCAGCACCAAGAAGGTCGACAGCAGCAGCAGAGGCGACAGAGGGGAGGAGGGGGGAAGGGGAACACCCCTCAAAGAACGGGGTGCGGGGGTCGCCACGAGAGGTGCCTACAGCGACGATGCTCGCCTCAGCTGCAAGCAGTTCCTTCTCGAGGAGGGCAACAGTGAGCTCAGTGGGGGAGCGAGAGAGGAAGTGGTCCCTGACTGCGCGCAGAGAGTCAGGGAGGCGGGTGACGATGTGGTAGAGAGTGATCCAGAGCGGGGGGGGGTTGCTAGTGAGAAACTCGGCAGGCATAGCAGCGCGAAAGCGGGCCTCACTAGTCTTAAGGTGGGTGATGAGGTCTGCGACAGTGTGAAAGGAGGCTAGGTCGGGGAACAGGTAGGGGAGAGTGAGGCGGCCTAGCGTGGCAGAAGCGGGTGAGGAGTAGCGGGCAACTACAGCGGTGTAGAGGTCCTTAGCAGTCTTGCACTGGCCGAAGTGCTCGCGCTCGTCTAGCGGCAGGGAGTTGCGAATAGCAAAGCGAGCGTGCGCATCACGGGTCTGCCACTGGGAACGCAGAGTGCTGTCAGCAGACGAGTCAGGGGCAGTGGCATGGCCTAGGGCATGGTCGTACAGTGAGATATCTTCCTTGGCAGTGAGCTGTAGGAACAGGTGCAGGTCATCGAGCCAGGTTTCGAACTTCACTGGACGGCCCTCGGCATCGAAAGCTAGAACTGGCGGACTAGCCATAGTGACAGTAGCAGTAGTAGTAGTGGCAGTAGTAACAGTAGTAGTAGGAAGCGTGGCAGCAGGAGCTGCAACGGCGCACTGGTGGCAGCTGCAGTGGTAGCAGTGTGCGCGGTAGGTAGAAAATAAACAGCAGTGAGATCGAGTGCCTCGCGGGCAGCGGCTGCAGAAGCGCACGGGCAGCAGCGGTGCACGGGGAACGGCAGTGCACGGGCAGCGGCGGCGCACGGGCAGCGGTGGCGCTCGGGAGGCAGCGGTGCGCAAGCAGCAGCGGAAGCAGCGGCGTACGAGCGGTTGCGGGCAGCGGGGCGTCTGCGAGCAGGCGACGAGCGGCTGCGGGCGGGCGGCCGCTGCGACGGCGGGCTGCGGGCCTGCGGGGCGTGCGCGAGCGGCAGCGGCTGCTGGCCTGCGGCGCACTAGCGGTAGCGGGCGACTCGCGGGCGGCGGCTGCAAAGGCGCACGGGCGGCAGCGGCTTATGCGCACGGGCAGCAGCGCCGACAGCGCACGGGCGGCTGCAGCAGCGAGCGGTGCGCAAGCAGCAGCGGCAGCAGCGCACGGGTGGCAGCGGCGTCGGTGCACGGGCGGCAGCGGCGTCGGCGGACGGGCGGCTGCGGGCAACGGGCGTGCGGCAGCTGCGGCGGCGAGCTGCGGGCCTGCGGGGCCACGGCGGGGTGCGCGCGAGCGGGCGACGGGCGGCCAGCAAGAGGGTTTGGACTAGCAGCAGTTGAGATACAAATAGCAAACCCTAGATTGGGCTGTACTCGCTATAGAGTACCCCACTGCAGGCTAGACAAATACAACATTCTGACAATCATCAGCGATCGAGACCCGAAATTCACGTCGAAGTTCTGGCAGGAGACATGGGCACAGTACGGGACCCGCGTGCAGTTTTCGTCGCCGTAACACCCGCAAACCAACGGCCAAACAGAACGGACAAACCAGACCATGGAGCACCTGATTCATACGAACTGCCCCGACATCACCTAGTGGGAAGATTCGCTCCCCATGCTGGAGTTTGCGTACAACAACGCCCCGTCTGCGACGACTAATCACTCGCCGCTCTGCCTCAATTACGGGATAGATCCCGTGGTACCCTCTTCCACGACCCCCGATAATCTGGTACCACGGTCACAACAATTCATGGCGGAACTACAAGCGGCACGCGACAAAGCAACGGAGTTTATTCGAAAGGCAAATTATATTGCCAGCCGCTACGCCGACAGGCACCGACGGAACTTACCTTTCCGTGCTGGGCAGATAGTCCTCCTGGACACCAAAAACCTTCGTCTGCCCCAACCTGCAAAACTGCGTTCCCGCTATGTGGGACCCTTCCGCATCGTTCGGATGTTGACCCCGGTTACGGCGAAACTGTTGCTACCCGACGACTGGAAAATCCACGACGCCTTCCTCGTCAGCCTACCCCGCCACTACGTGGCCCCGCAGTCGTCAGACATCGCCCGCCCCAACATCGCGCCAAGTGTCCGGCCAGTGGTAGGCCCGACACTTCAGCCCTGGAAGATCTTGAACCATCGCAGCCGTGCGACACCAGCCGGACGCCACGTCGGCTTCCTCCTACGCTGGGTGGATCACACAAGTGAAGACGACATGTGGGTCCCGGGAGACTCACTGCAAGGTCACTTGGTTTTACGAAACTATCTCTCCCGCAGCCGCGTGCCCGATATCGACCACCTTTCTTAAGGGGGGGGTAGTGTAAGGAATTTTCCGAATTCCTTACTGAGGCACCCTGTACGCGTACAATTCCAACTTTTCGGACAATCAGGCTCGGTCCGCAGACCTCGCCTTCCGAACCACTACCGCGTCGCCTTCGGGTTTTCCAACCCCAACCCTACACCCAACCATCTCGCGACTCCGCAGTCTCGGCCTAGCTAGCAGTGCTATATTATGCCTAGGCCTCGTTGTTTGCTCAGTAGTTGTAATCACTTCCGCGATATTGCATTCTGCGCACTCTTCATTTGTAGAACTCATAACAAACTCACTAATGACTCACGACTCATGTTACCAGCCCACACCACAAACCGTGGGTGGTTCGAACCATCAAGCGGCAAAATGGTCCCGCGCCCTAACTCCTACACTTGGTGTCAGATCTCTGTGACGACCAAATTCTACTACTCGCTTAGGCACCGTGTGACAGACAACTCCCTCCGCCTATTTCTCTTCTCACTGTATCCCCGGTTGCCTAAGCCGCAGCGAGGGCCGTTTGCACGCCAAGGCCAGTTGCCGTCATCCGGTCACCACGGTCGCCATCGTGCGCCGCCTTCGCCTGCCACGCAAAGTGTGTGCGCTTGACCACCGCGCAACTCGACACACTTCGATCGCACGCACGTCCTGCGACCTTTAGCACCTTGTGAGTCCCGTTTTCCCCTTCTCGCCTCTCCACGCACTCGCCTCTCCGGGCACTCGCCTCTCCGCGCCCTCATCTCTCCGCGCCCTCATCTCTCCGCGCCCTCATCTCTCCGCGCCCTCATCTCTCCGCGCCCTCATCTCTCCGCGCCCTCATCTCTCCGCGCCCTCATCTCTCCGCGCCCTCATCTCTCCGCGCGCTCATCTCTCCGCGCCCTCATCTCTCCGCGCCCTCATCTCTCCGCGCTCTCGCCTCATCGCCCGGCCCTGCTTGCATCCCTTTCCCCCCTACCCCGATTCTCACACCGCCTCTCCTCATACCTGCTCCTACCTTCCCGCCTTTTCTTCCTCGTTCCTGCTCTACCTTTTCCTCCCTCCCATGCGCCGAGCATTCTCGCCCTCCCTCCCTCTCCCTGCCCCCCGACAACACTCCCTCCATCCGTGCCCCGCAGCTCTTCCCTGCCTGCCCCCTCTGTGGGACCGCCCCATGCCTTCCTCCTGCCACGCTTCTCGGATGCTTTTTCGTCCCGCCCCTCTCCACCTGCTCCTCTCCACCCGCCCATCCCTGCAGGCCTGTTCTTCCCCCTCCTGCCTTCCCTCCCTTCTTCCCTTCCCCCTCCGCTCTGCTCCTCCCCCTCACCCCCCCCACTCCTCTCCCCTTCGGTTCTCCCTTCACCTGTCCGTGTCATGATGCCACCTGTCCGTGCCATGGTGTGCCACGTGTCAGGGTGAGCCACGTGTCAGGGCGAGCCACGTGTCAGGGCGAGCCACGTGTCAGGGCGAGCCACGTGTTATGACGAGCCACGTGTCAGGGTGAGCCACGTGTCAGGGCGAGCCACGTGTTGGGGTGAGCCAAGTGTCAGGGTGAGCCACGTGTCAGAGTGAGCCACGTGTCAGGGTGAGCCACGTGTCAGGGCCAGCCACGTGTCCACCAAGCGTCCTAACCTTATACTTCCCACCCTAACTTCCCCTACTCCCTCTCCCCCACTCGGTCTCCCCCACTCCCTTCCCTCCTCTCTTCATCCTGCCTCCAGCAAGGGAGGCAGTGCACGGCTCGTGGGCGGGAGGTCACTTGAGTGCATTCGACGTTTGAGTCGACTCAAACGACGTGTGGTGTGGCGCCACACGTGGCACTGGCAGCATGCAGCCTCAGGTGCGGCACTCTGTGGTTGCATGTAACATGCTGCAGGGTGAGTGAGTGAGTTAGCGTGATGGCCTACCTACCATCACGGGACAGGTGAGACATGTGACAGATGGGAAGTGGGTGGATTGTGAAGGAATGTCATTTATATGAATATCATTTTGTTGGCCTCATGAAACAGTCGGAAAGAGAACCTATCACCTTCTTCCTGTAGAAAACCAATACTTTTTTAGATTATGAATGCCATCCATTTTGGCATGCGCATCGTCTTTGCTCTAATGAATCACGCCCTCCAGTCCCACACCGCCCCATCACGCCTTGAAGCACTGTCTTTCTCTCTCCGTCCATGCGAGCAGGCAGAAGGACCCAAGTACGCCCATCCGCAGGTGGTCTTCTTCACCTGCTTCTTCAAGGTCAGACGCTCACTCGCTCCCACATGCATACATGCGTCATGTGCTCATTCACTCATACTATGTGGCACGCCACGTCCTCGTGCACATAAATACGCTCACACTATACTTAAATGCACACTTGCATGAACGTGCATGCCACTTCCTGACATCACATGATGACACACCACACACCACATTCATCCGTGCTCCCTATCGCCACGCCCAATCCCCTCTTCATTCCACTCCTCACCGCTCTAGCCATGCATTCCTAATCCCGCAAGCACCAGCAGCATTCCCTGCTGGACAGTGGGCAGCTGGGTCCCAAGTCCACCCAAGCCCTCCTTCCTATTTTTGAAACGTCTCTTAACCCGCTTTCCTACTTTTGAGTCCACTCACCACTCTCCACCATTCCTCCCTGCACCACACAGGCGGTAGCGTTGCAGTTCTACATACTAGGAAGCTGGGTGACAAATTCCGAGTCGACCCAGCCTCCCCCCCCTTTCCTCCTTCCTACCACGCACAGGCAGCCGCATTAGGGTTTTACCTTCTGGGAAGCTGGTTCACGAGCAGCTTTGTGATCGACTTCGTGGTGTGCGTGCTGCTCATCGCGCTCGACTTCTGGGTGGTGAAGAACGTGAGCGGGCGCATCCTCGTGGGGCTGCGCTGGTGGAACGAGACGGACGAGAGCGGCGAGACTCTCTGGCACTTTGAGTCGCTCGACCAGGCCGTGAGTGGAGTGCGGTGGGGTGGGGAGTGGTGAGAAGTGTTGGGAATTGGTGGGGTTGGTGGGGGTGGTGGGGGTGGTGGGGTGGTGGGGATGGTGGGGATGGTGGGGCATGAATGGCTGGACCAGGTCGTGTGGACCGTGGTGGGGAGTGGTGGAGAGTGGTGGGGGATGGTGGGGGATTGTGGGGCAATGGTCCTTGCCCTCTTCTCAAGCTGGACCAGGCAGTGACTGGGGCACGGTGCGGTGCGGCATGCGCAAAGTCGTGGCAGGTGGTGGGCGTGCTCATTCTCTCTGCTCGTGCTCTCCCTGCTTCTTTCTGCCCCTTAATCCTGTCCTTTCTCTCGTCTCTTACCTTTCTCCCTCCTCACTCTATGTTTCTCTCTCATCGCTCGTCCCTTCCCCTTCATCCCTCCACCATCTCTCCCCGCTCTTGCCTCTCCATGCTCTATTTCTCTCTCACCTCGCTCTAACTTCTCTTTCGCTCTACCTTGCACTTTTCTCACTCGAACTGTTTCTCTCGTCCCTCTCATCCCTTTCATTTCACTCCCCCCGTGCGCCTCACGGCAGTCATTGGACCAGCTGAGCAAGACGGACGCATGGGTCTTCTGGTGGACACTCTACTGCACGGTATGGTAACGCGGTTACACAACCTGCACTGTGGTACTGCATTATTGTGGTAACACACCCTCTACATCGCATCACGACCTTTTTTTCTCGTTCATTCTGAATCCAACTCATCCTTCCTTGCTCCTCAGTGTCACGCTGCGCTTATCCATCCACCTCATTCCTCATCCCCACCTCATTCCTCATCCTCACCTCATTCCTCATCCTCACCTCATTCCTCATCCTCACCTCATTCCTCATCCTCACCTCATTCCTCATCCTCACCGCATTCCTCATCCTCACCTCATTCCTCATCCTCACCTCATTCCTCATCCTCACCTCATTCCTCATCCTCACCCCATTCCTCATCCTCACCCATTCCTCATCCTCACCTCATTCCTCATCCTCACCTCATTCCTCATCCTCACCTCATTCCTCATCCTCACCTCATTCCTCATCCCACCTCATTCCTCATCCCCACCTCATTCCTCAGCCTCACCTCATTCCTCATCCTCACCTCATTCCTCATCCTCACCTCATTCCTCATCCTCACCTCATTCCTCATCCTCACCTCATTCCTCATCCTCACCTCATTCCTCATCCTCACCTCATTCCTCATCCTCACCTCATTCCTCATCCTCACCTCATTCCTCATCCTCACCTCATTCCTCATCCTCACCTCATTCCTCATCCTCACCTCATTCCTCATCCTCACCTCATTCCTCATCCTCACCTCATTCCTCATCCTCACCTCATTCCTCATCCTCACCTCATTCCTCATCCTCACCTCATTCCTCATCCCCACCTCATTCCTCATCCTCACCTCATTCCTCATCCTCACCTCATTCCTCATCCTCACCTCATTCCTCATCCTCACCTCATTCCTCATCCTCACCTCATTCCTCATCCTCACCTCATTCCTCATCCTCACCTCATTCCTCATCCTCACCTCATTCCTCATCCTCACCTCATTCCTCATCCTCACCTCATTCCTCATCCTCACCTCATTCCTCATCCTCACCTCATTCCTCATCCTCACCTCATTCCTCATCCTCACCTCATTCCTCATCCTCACCTCATTCCTCATCCTCACCTCATTCCTCATCCTCACCCCATTCCTCATCCTCACCTCATTCCTCATCCTCACCTCATTCCTCATCCTCACCTCATTCCTCATCCTCACCTCATTCCTCATCCTCACCTCATTCCTCATCCTCACCTCATTCCTCATCCTCACCTCATTCCTCATCCTCACCTCATTCCTCATCCTCACCTCATTCCTCATCCTCACCTCATTCCTCATCCTCACCTCATTCCTCATCCTCACCTCATTCCTCATCCTCACCTCATTCCTCATCCTCACCTCATTCCTCATCCTCACCTCATTCCTCATCCTCACCCCATTCCTCATCCTCACCTCATTCCTCATCCTCACCTCATTCCTCATCCTCACCTCATTCCTCATCCTCACCTCATTCCTCATCCTCACCTCATTCCTCATCCTCACCTCATTCCTCATCCTCAACTCATTCCTCATCCTCACCTCATTCCTCATCCTCACCTCATTCCTCATCCTCCTGTGGTCTCATCCATCTTTGCTTGTGTGCTGAACTACATGTGTGCATCTGTGAGTCTGTGCATCTGTGAGCGTGTGTATGCATGTGTTTGGTCACATGGATGACAACATGTGGATATATACGTGCCTGCGGCTGTGCGTACATGTGACTGTGAATACATGTGACTGTGCTTACTTGTGACTGTACATGCATTCTGCCTGCCCTCCTGCATGCATGCACATTCACAGCCAGGGCTGTGGCTGGGGCTGGGGCTCATCCAGGTCATCCGTCTCAGCTTTGACTATCTCCTCATCATCATCGTGGCTCTCGTGCTCGGCGCCGCCAACATCTACGGCTACACCAAGTGCCGCCGAGGTCACTACCCTTGTCCCTTGTCGCTTGCTCTCTCTTCCCGTGTTCTCTCTGCCCTCGTTCTCTCCCCTCCCTTTATCTCTCGTGCTCGGTGCTGCCATTACATGCCCCTCAAACCTTTTTCCCCCACCCCTGCTCCCCCGTCCCGTGGTCACCCGAACCCTTCCCCCCTCGCCCGTTCCCCTTCCCCCAACTGTGCTTTTCCCCTTGCTCTATCCGTTGGCTCTATCATGCATGTGCGCGTATGTTTCCGATTCTCAAGAGCATGTCCAAGAAAATGTACTGCGTGTGAATGGTACGGTATGTCCGATATGCATTTGCATGTTCATGCTCATTACGGTATATGCATGTGTTGTGTATGCATGTGAATGGTTCTGCATGGACATGTCCAGATGCCAAGAAGCAGATCCAACAGTTTGCAGCACAGACCATGGCACAGAATTTCGCCTCCACGCTCACCTCCGCCCTCGCAGTCTGAATACCTTCTTATGAAGTGCAACTCCGAGCTGGCTCATCAGGCCCTGAAAACTCTAGTAATAGGAAAGTTTTACGATGGGTAGTCTTCCTCAACCTTGTGTGGCTCTTTTTGGCCGGATAATGGACTGTCTCTATCCCGTAGAAGCTATGTAGGCATGCAGTGCGTCTTGTGGCAGCTTGCTTAGTACTTCACTCTGAGATAAGTATGAAACGAATATGTATAGAAGACAAATGCATAGAAATACGCACTTCTCACTTCGACCGTAACGATGCCCTCCGTTTGGAGATATTTCTCAGCTCAAAATGCAAGGTCTCCTCGAAGCGCACGGTTATCGCGGCTCGTCAATGCCCACAACCAGAGCACATTTCGGAATTTGAGCCCTGGTGGAACAACTACGAATTCCTGTTTCGTAAGCTCCGTCATGTGTCCAACGAGAGCTATATATTCTCTACGTCTTGCCCATTCCAAGACGGTTGCTAAGGTAAAAAAAGGCGACTGCAGGGCTCCAGTATGACAGGACGCCGTTTCTTCAGTAATCTTATGCTATGGGCCCTACCCGTGCTCGTCTACGCAACCTCGGTGGCTAATTGCGTTGCTGCGGCTAGACGTTGGCCATCAAGAACTGCCCCAGTCACCACAGGAGATGGGAATCCGCGCTTCCAGTGGCTGTCAGGCGCCAAGACACCTCATGTGATCTTCTTTCCCACTTCGAGGTTCGCTTCTCTGCCATGGAGCCCTCGTTTCGTCATGCTGCCATCATTTTTACTAATACTATTAATAACAACAACATACATATACTAACGTAATTCAATCGCAAATAACTCGCATCCTATTCCATTATCTTGCGTTTGACAGAAAGCAGGTTTTCAACTACTGGAGCTATCTCCCTGGCGCCGCTCCTGCACTGCTGCGTGAGATGCAGGCGGAGATGTTTTCGACAGCAACAGCCCTGGGGCTCGTCAGTAACGGCGAAAGGGGCAACTCTGGTAACCTGGACCTTTCACGAAACGCACAGACTCGGTTCAACACGGCTACGCAGACTCAGTTTTTCAGTATTCCTGGTCTTTCCCTGCTGGGCCGACGACTGCTCGAACGCCATGACCACCCAAAAAGTATGATCCTATTGTATTAAAAAAAGAAAAAGTGTATAGTGTACTACCACCATACTGAGTCTGTTCTAACGTCGTTACTATAGCACAAATCACTCTCCTCTCAACAATCCGGCGCGCAGGGAAATTTGAGTCTCTGCAGGTCGCCTCAGCCCTCCAAGTGATCACGCACGTGTTCGACAGCAGCAGTGCCAGCAGCCGCAAGCAGGTGGGGCCGAACGCGGGCATGGGCGCGTACGCGCAGAGCGGCAACATCGGCAGCATCAACAACCAAAACACCGTCAACGACCAAACCGCGGACGCCACCAAAACCGGCCCTGGCACCCCGGGCGTCATCGCGACGCCGTACTCGCAGTACCAGCGGAGGGGGGCGACGGCGTACCAGACGAACACACAGTCGCAGACGGCGACGACCAATGGCATCACGCCCACGTACCAGTTCGGGTCCACATCAGCGACCAACACAATAACGGCCCTAGGCGGGGGCGCCGGGTACGGTGGGTTAGGAACTCTTGCGGGCGGTACAGGGGCGGCGCTCGGCGCGCTGAGCAGCGCAGGGGTGCCGTTTGCGACATCGCTAATGTCGACGAATCCGACTGGCGATCCCATTGGCACAGGGGTGCGGTGCATGAGTCAGTTTGCTGGTGGCGGGTGCAGTGAGGAGGGATTTTTGCCTGCTGCTCATGCGAGCGCGAGGCCCATCGAGGTGATCTCCGAGCTTGGACCAGCAAGCGCGTAGGAAGATCGCTGTTGAGATTCAGTAGGCTGTACAGTATGCGTTGTATGGATGGCCTTTGCAGTAGGGATCAATATGCGGATAAAAAGAACCTAGTAGTAGTATGTTTTATCAACCCGAAGGACCCCTTTCCGTTGCTGAGCTAATGGCACGACGAACTGCACGGCTCGTCAGGACGGTTCCCCGTAATCACCTCGTCGCTGTCGCCATAGCCCTCCCCAGTCGTCGCTTGCACCAGCGCCAATTGGGACCTCGCAAGACTCGCCTCTAGTGCGGCGCTCTGCGACCGAGAAGCCGCGAGCTTCCGCTGCGACTGAACGAGCTCGCCTGATAAAATGGCGACTCTCGCCTCGAGAGCTGCGATTGCTCGCCTGCTCGCAGACGCTTCGTCCACAGCCGACTGCATCTTGGCGTGCAACGCCGCCGCGATATGTTCGTGTTGAGACTGTGCGACGGAAGGCGACTGCCTCGCGACGGAGGCGAAAGCGTGACTCTTGAAACCATTGCAACCCCAGGGTTGCTGGCTCTGCATGACAGATTGCTCCTGTGCCGCCGCTTGGTGTTGTTTCCGCGCCTGCTGCTGCTGCAGCACTTCCAAAAGCGCAAGCATTTGTGGGTGATTCGTCCCCTGTCGCGCGTCGACGCCGCACGAAGGAGCTCGCGACGGAACACGGGACGCAGGCGACCACTGCCATTGCGGTAACCCCGTCACCGTGTTCGCGGCGTCGATTGTGAGGCTTCCTTCCGACGCCATCAGCGACGACGACGACCGTCGCACGAGCTTGCTGGGCGCACACGCATCGACGGAGAATGACTGGCGCAGGCTAGTAGACGCGTCGGCGCCGACCGAAGCCGCCAATTCGCAGCCGCAATGTCGGTCTTGAGCGGCGTTAGCAAGGGTACACTGAACGGCGGGAGCGCCGTGCGTCGCTGGTGAATCCTGTGTTGGCAGGACGAAGGACGATAGATACGACTCTAGCCGCTGCCTCTTGGTCAGATTAGGCCGGCAGCTGACGAGCAGCGGCTCTGCAGCACTTGAAACGAGAGTGGTTGACTCGAGTCGCACGGCCGCTTGGGCCGCTTGTGTTGCTTGGGCCACTTGGGCCGCTTGTATCCGCTGCTGCTGCTGCTGCTGCTGCTGCTGCTGCAGGCGAGCGACGAGCAGTCGCTGGAGCTGCTCACGCAGAGCGTCACTGGCGGCTAAGGCAACTAAGGGGGTCGGCGAAGCCGGCGATACCTCTCGACCCCGCTTCTGGCTGGTAGCGATGGCGGGGCCTGCGAGCGCCATGATTGTTGCGCTTGATTGTGCGTGATACGAAGAGTTGCTTCACACTCTCGTTTAGTAAAAGTCGGGTGGTTTGCAAGACGTTCTTCATGTGAGTTGACGACAATGCAGCTCTTTCAACGCTAAGCTAACGGCCCATAGCGATGTACAGGAGGCTGGCTCTATGCGGGAAAGCTCGTTAGCCACCGAAAGATCCAGCAGCTAGTAGTTGTGGTGGCATGGGGTGGTATGACGATCTACGTTGGACCTGAGGCACCAAAGCTTGATGTGATGGTGAGGGTAGTGGGGGGACTGGGTGTTGGTCTGTGGGGCCTGGCGCCTGATGTTGTGGGGAACGCTGTTGGCTTGGGATATCAAGAATCCAAATTTACATGCAGTACGGTGAAACATTGTTAGGTAGGTTATGCTAGCTTACGACGCGGTTGCACATGGTTGGTAACGGAAATTAGGCATAAGATTTAGCGAGCTGGAAAGCGTGTCTTGTGTCCTCAGGTACAGCAGAAACAGAAATAGGTCGCTCTGCTCTCAAGGGCCATCCGTGCCTGTGGTTAGAATTCCACCATTTGCAGTACTTAGAAGGGGCCGTGGATGTACTATACTACCCTGCAAACTCGATAGATGTATCAATATTAGATCCGCAATTAGTAGTAGGTCCAGAATTGCACTCGCTAAACTCTATCCAGGGTTAGCTCGCTCCGCTTGGAGACAACCCAATCCCTCTCGAAATTGCTCAGGAATAGAATCATGACGTTCTAATTTACTGCGGCTGCAGTGAGGTGACACTGGTGGGAGGGACAGATTTTAAACTCGAGTTACGATGCAGTCAAAAGACGCCGGGGCGGAACCGCTGCCTACAGAAATCCGGTTCAAACGATTAGCTGATGATGGAATGTTTTGAAAGAGTTCAGGCAGAATAGAATGTGGATCAGAAAACAACCCAGACGGAACCGATTCTCCCCCCTCACAGGTTAACAGCCCTCCATTCCCCCCACCCCATGCAGACGCTAGGCTGTTTTTTTTGCTTCCCCACAACACTTTGCAACTGCCTATATGAGGAGGATTCTCGTCGCATTTGCAAGAGGTGTGTACGAATGAGCTGTCGCAGAGAGCCACTGTCGTTAAGCGTCGTTTGTCCTTTCTTACCACAGGGTGGTGCTTCGCTTCGAGTCCGCCATTTTGGTCCTAAAACTTCAGGTTCAAGCAGGTGTGGGGAGGGCATTGCACCCGTTGGTTGCTGCTGGCTACAAGGTGTGTGGTGGATCGAAGGGATGCAACTGTTGGGCAGTTTTCTGCGGACATGTAGATTCTGGTTCAGTACAGATATTGCTCGCGAAATCGCCCACCCTCCTCACTCCCAGGTACACCTAGCCCGCGCCAAATTCACTAGGGCCATTTTCACCCCCCCCTTGTCGCTATGTGGGTCAGGGAGGCTGGGTGCTGCACAGGGGCGCCCCCCACAAACCCCCCTACAAAAATGTTACGGCCATTCCCCCCCCCCCCCCCCCCCCACCCCACTACAGACAAGCTTGACCAGTGCGGGGGGGGCGTGAAAATAGCACGGGCTAGGTGTACAATCGGTGCTCATTGCAAGAACACAGGTAGGCGGGCGGCATGTGCATGAAACGAGTTTTGGGCGTTTCGCTACCTCGCCCTTGTCGCCACGGGCAAAAATGTGATTGTAAAATGAAATTGGAAAGAAGTTTGTTGTTGGGTGTTTAAGTCCGTAACCAGGTAAACTTTTCTGATGACGGGCAACCGTTGTTGGTTGTGAACTGTAGATGTTTTTCTTCTGCAACTTGGTGACTGTACTCCGAATTCAGCACAATGCTCAATCTAATCACTCATGGGCAAAACGTCGCGAGTGACGAAATTTCTAATCGTGCTGAGCAATTTTTTGTGACAGGCTGAGCATCGACTGTACACACGACAGTCCAAGCGCTCAGCTTTTACAGCCAACGGCACACTCGATACACGTCCAATTAAAGCCCTTCTACAACACCCTTGCTACTGTGTAAAGTGTACTTGCAAAAGAGTTAGTGAACATTGCTAGAACATGCGATTCAACCCACTATTCACTTGATACACTTTAGGCTGGTAACCCAGCTACTACAGACAGTCCCAAATTGCCTCGGAACTTTGGGCAGTTCCGAACAGTCCCAACTGCCCAAAAATTCAACGGGACTCTTAAGGGCATCAGGTGTACGTTTCCTCAACCAACAGCTATGGGCAAATGGGTACGCGCGCGTGTGAACCAGGACTTAGGCTATCAGGGTAAATGCTCGTTCTTGACTGAAAATCCAAGAAATTTTTAAGCCAAACTCGGATTTTTACAGGGGAGTTTTTCTGCCAGCCTTAACTGAAACCGAGCTCTTCCAGGACTTAGCCTGATGAATCCAAGTACTCCCTCGAACAACTCAAAAGTTTTTTCTAAGGCTCTAACCACCCCTAACCTCGCCCGCTCCCCAACACAAGTAAACTTCTCCCCCTTTGCAGAGATAACTCTAACAACGGGAGCTATACTATAGGGTAGGCACGGTTGTGAGGGTGATCTCTGCGTTCGTTCCTTAGTCGTTTGCTCGTATGTTCAGTGCTTGCAGATTCACTGGGAGATTTTGCAAGAGTTTCACTAGCAAAAGTTGACAACAATGGTACACAATACAAAGCAACGATGGACTAAATCAGAAGCTATCATGCAAGGTGGTCGACTGCCAGTGCAACACGATCGACCGCGTTCCAGCACGACAAAGTCGACCGCGCTCCAGCAGTGCAATGTCGCGACCTGCCAACGCTGTAAGTCGACGACGTACCACGCTGCAGCAAGGCAGCTGCGCAACATTGCACCCGTAGGACAGTAGCGCACCCGCTTCGCAGGTGCTCGCAGATGATTGGCGTGCTCTGCTTCGTCACTTGCACAACGCATGAACCAGATCGTCCTCGTGCTGACGACTGCACTTGATCAGCTACATCGACCTCAGGATACCACCACCAAGGTCGACTTCGCCACAACCACCTACGCGACTGTCGCGCTCCTCTGCAGAACCCCGTCGCCCAGGTAACCAGGTCGACCGTGTTAACGGGAGTGAGTGTTGGCCCCGCCCTCGCTTGGGCAACGCCGACGACTTGGTCGGATGTACGGGAGAAGCAGCCGACCGTTTCGCAATGAAGGAGCTGCTCGACGGGCCTCGTCGAGCTGCAAGGGTTCGCTGTGGTGTTGCTGTCGACCAGGGAGCTCGACAGCTGCAACTGACTGGTCTGGGCGACGGGCGGGTCGTCGACCAGGAGGGGCAGTTCGACCGGGAGGTCGACGGAGCAGTCCGTCGACCTGACAAGTGAGCAGCGGTCGACGAGGGGAGCTCGGCGACATCAGCTGAGAAATCTGGTCGACGGAAGGGGTCCATCGACCAGGGGGAAGCTCGACAGGAGCTGTGGTCGACCGAGGGACCTCATGGTCGACCAGAGGCACCTAGTGGTCGACCGAGGGATCTCCTGGTCGACCTGGGGGACCTGGTGGTCGACCGGGGGACCTGGTGGTGGTATCCAGGTCGACCGGGTAACCTGCTCGACGAGTTCTGCGGAGGCACGCGAACGTCGTCGAGGTCGCGATGGCGAAGGCGACTTCGGGCTGGTATCCCGAAGTCGATGTGGCTCGTCAGGCGCAGACAACAGCCGACGGATGCACAGCAATGCAAGTCGGGCCAATCGTCTGCGCGCACCTGCG